ATTGTGCTGTAGAGCTGCAAACTGTTACTTATCATCGAGTCAGGTTATTTTCAGCCATATTTCCGAGAAGCGCTACTCTGAAGTAGCACCTATAAGAATTCTTAAAGCACGCAGATGAAGGAGCGCTCTGTCTTTGAGGCTAGCTATCGGATGTGCTGGCAAATAACATGGCCAGTAGGCAGTGTTAATTGCTCTTTACAAAGTGTAGCTGACAGTGTTAAAGCGGAACTTTTTTCGAAACTTTTTATTGGAATGAAACCATCTGCCTGTCGCATTGCGTTGGTAAACAATAACAAGTGTTAACATTTTTCATAGTGACAAGATTGCTTGTAACTAAATATATGACCACTGTGGCAGCGCGAATGATGCTTAATATAAATAGGAAAAACCGTTTTGAACTGACTAGATATTACAACTCTGGGCAGTTGTGCTGCTTAAAATTTGTTAATCATGGATTACAATGTAGGCAACGCAACATTTATCTCTTTATAGCCTGGTGTGTTGCTTTTCTTTTAAGCCTCTGTTAGAACAGCGTGACCACGTGCAAAATCAAGCTGCTGTTATCTTGCAGTTTTGACGTTCAGATTGTAGTTCCAAGTAGTTTACGTTAACGTCTTGACATGCAGCATCGTTTTATATAGTCATTATCAAGTCATGGCGCCGAAGATTCATGATGATTATGACCCCTGAATTCAGCGTTTCGGATATTGATTTCCGTGGCATTTGCAACTTCTAAGGGGTAAGTTCATCAGAAGTCATCAGATCATTTATTTTTCTGCGTGCTATGAAGTTCTCGCCTTAGTAGCACATTTGTCCTTGCTGAGATTTTCACATTAGCGGCTGAAACTGATGAAGCTAGCTTAAATGTCCAATAAATGGTTGATTCCCACCTGCGCCTCTCTTTTGACTCCTAAATCTTCTAGATAAAAATCGAATTCATGGTTTCACCTTGCTGTGCTGATTATTGTGCTGGATTGTCAGCTATCAAGTTGGTTAGGACGGAATGCTGTCACAAGACAGTGAGCACTAATGTCAGACAGCATAGCCATACACCTAGCCCATTGTGGCAAGAGCGCACTAGAATATCATGCTGTCCCAATTATTCTTATTTCACCGACTTATTACCCATTTGTCAGATGGTTGCGCTGAAAAAACGTTGAGTTAATTGCTTGTTCAAAACAGTTCGTGGTTAAGACGAAGGTTGTCCCTTAAGTGGATTCGAATCCGACATCTAGAGTTCAAAGCTGACTTATTTGCCACTGTGCCCCAACGATTCAAATGTTTATGGGTTTGGCTGAAATGAACAGCGAATATCAGCTTTCTTCCTGCCTACATCCACTGATTTGATTCCTTGATTTCGAGAAGGTTTTCAACTCAGTTTACACTTGATCTGTATTTAATTCCTTAAAGAGCCAGAAAAGCAAGGAAAGATGCAAAGACATCATCGCCATGATTTGCAAAAATGCAATTGCAAGTGCAAAGTGTCACGAAGGTACGAGTAAGTTAAAAATCGAGAAGGGCGTCCAACGGGGTGAAGTTATTTGCGGCAGCCCTGGAAGAATTTTTCAAGATACTCCGTTAAAAGATAAGGTGCTGAAAATAAATGGGCACTACTTAAACTACTTGCATTTTGCGGACGATATTTGGATTCTTTCAAGGTCGTCACAAGACCTCCAAGGAAGAATCCAAGAGTTGAGTGACGTCACGATGAAAGTGGAACTGATAATGAATCTGAAGGAGGCTCATGGGATGTTTAACAAGTACACGACCCCAAGATCTGTTGAAGTCAACGGACTTAGGTTTGAAGGAGTTAAAACTATATGTGTATGGAACTGCTCGTCTTTGCAATAGAGAACTGACTGATGAAAGTACTAGAGTGAAAATGGCGTAGCACTTCTAGAAAATTGAAAATTCTCCTATCCGCCAGACTGCCCTAGTGTTTGGAACAGAAAATATTCTAGCATTATGCTCCCAATAAAACCTTGTCTCTAAACCATTAAGCGATTCATGAACTACATATTACGCAATGCAGCATGGAAAAATGTGTTGGGAATACCAGCACATTGTGTACCCCCATGCCTGAGGGTAAGTATGGATGCCTGGACTCATAAAGTATCGATCAATAAAGACATATACATACCCCCAGGCATGCATGTCTCTTATAGTCATTACTTGAAACTGTCCAACTAATGATAGTGACAGACATTGTTTGTTTAGAAGGATTACAATATGAATGTATTGGGTTTGGCGGCGTTATTACAGCTTATTTCTCAAGCCTTCGCCATCCAGGTGACATGAATCATGTTCGTTTCTTTGCATTTTCTGGTTTCCTCCATAAAGAATTGTCCATGTAGAACGGGTCGTAATTCTCTATTCATCTGCCTCCGCGTTCCGAAAAGAAAAGTGGTCATGCAAACTAACTGACTTTTTGTTTATATTGTCATTGTCATCTGGGAATCAGGTTCAAGAATCGACTACCCAGATTAATGTCTGGCCACCTGAGTGGCTGACCGACCGACTCCCATCTACCTCTACATTATTTATCCATGTTGCTTGCCGACCCCCTTGTAGACGTCTGCTTTTTTTCGGATTGGTTCGCGAGCTTCGATGAAGCCCTTGTACTCTGTCAGTTCATGAAACAGAACCAACTCTTTTTGCTTAATCTCCAATTTTAGTTGACGTAAATGTGCTCTGGAGAGAATAGCATAATTCCTCTTATGGACTTGGCATTAGATGCTGATAGAAAACAGTGGCTGCGAAGGTAAGTCTCTCCAGTATGCACTTTTGCATTGAGGATTCGACTCAAAGCTCCAGAGAACTTCATTTTTTACTGCTATATTCCAGGTAAGGAACCTTACTAAACAGGTAAGCAATTAGCACTCCCTCTATTCTTTTCTGAAACCAGCCGAGAAAGGGGATAGCAGGCCATTGATCTGCGAACAATAGACATGGCATTGTGCCCCACGGTGTGGTCCTGTCAGAATGTGAGGCACCCGTAGCCATACATTCTAATGTGTATGCTTTGTCGCTACACTGTAATTTGTTCTAACCCACAGAATGACGGACTAAATCAGAACAAAGTTTATTTTCCATAATTTAAAAAATGTATCGAAACAGTGCTATTGTGCTCTGTTATAGCGTCTTTTTTGATCTTTCATTTGAACAGCAATCTGTGCTGTGTATAACAATGCTGATCTGGCAGTGTTTTTGTGCAGCGGGTCTTTGTAGAAGAGAATATTCGTTGAGCAGCCCATATACCAGCTAGACTTGCTGAAGCGTTTTATCCATCTCCTTAACTCTGATTAGTTAATGCTCTTGTGGAGATCATGAAAGTGGGATGATTAAATTGATGATTAAACCTAGTACTGCTTAGGCTAATTTAGCTTCCCTGCTGTATCTGTAGATCTGTTTCGCCGAATGGGTTTTTCGTAGTTATTGATTTTAGGGTTTTATGGAGGGAATTGCGTTTTTGTTGTATTGAATATGGAAGCCATCTGATCGGCAATCCATTTCTCCCACTTCTGACTGTTTGCTACCTCTTGTTCGTCACAAATACTCAGCTTATTTCGTAGATTACTTTTAGACCTGAATGCGTTAGACTCTCCACTACGTTCGAATGAGTCCACTACCTCTCGATAGCAACTGATCTTATGTCGGTGAAGGAACTGAGAATGAACTAAATCTTTGCACTTTCTGTTGTATCACAGTGCTGCCTGCAAGTGTTTGCGCTTGTTTTGCGAAAGTGAAATTTCCTTCCTCTCTCTTGTCTATCGTACGCCGGATCGGCGTTTAATAGTATCTGTTGCAGACTTTACAGCTCTGAGTTTACAAGTGCTTAAGTTTAGTAGCCTATTATGTCATTAAAGGTGCGTAAACGTTCTTGTCGGCCGCAGTTTGACAACATAGTCTTAGTCGAACGATCTTCAGGTAATGGTTTCCGATCGTCGTTGGATAAATGCTTCATTTAGGATGACTGCATACCACAGCATCGGTTTTTCTGTATAGCTCAAATTTATCTGCTTGTTATCCATGGACTGCGAAAGGTCTAAGTCTGTGACGATCTTTGTGATGAGGGTAGTGAGTTTATTGACTCGAACGTCATTCATCGATTCAGCGTCGCGTTTATCGTTGTTGTTTCGCGACAAATGCATATCCGCGCTCGTCTAATTGCGCCACTGATTCATTCGCACATTTGCCGCTTCGTTTTAGACGGGCGACGCAAAACCGCACCAGAATCCGGTTGGTGGCCAAGCGAGGCAGTTCACGAACACGAGGCACAAGCCAAACGTCAGACGAGGTTCAGCGTCGTTCGTTTCGTTCCTCTTTGGGTGACTCGTGCGCTGCTAGACGACGTCACCATCGAAACGGCGACGACGACGGTAAACACATTATGGTGCCGTCATTAAAGTGACGCACAGTGGCAGAACTAGTTTAGAAGTAAAGTCTGATCTGAAAAGCGGGACGGACGGCCGGTCGGTCGGTCGGTCGGTTGGTCGATTTGGTCACCACGCGACGCTGCCATTCCCGCTGCTCTTCTCTCACTCTCACGCATTCATTAACCCCCCTTAAGAAGGAAGGCGTTGACTGGCGACGACGTGTTGCGTGTCAACCGATCTTGACGGAGAATCATCGTAAGGTGAGAATCACACGGTTGAGTTCGTTGCGTTTAATTGGCTATGCTGAGGCTATCGATCTAGTTGACAGTCGATACAGTCCATACAGATGTACAGTGAGGATGATGGGGGCGCACAAGTTGATGATGGTGGTGGTGCTTACGGTGTATCCTTCGATTGATTCTGAGTAGTGCTTCCACTTATTATCGTTTTTTATTTTTATGTCAGAAATGAGTTTTGATGACGCGATGTCGCGCGGTTGCCTATGACCAGACAGACACGCTTCCAGCTTGATGCACTGCGTTGCCTTCTTGATGACTGTGCTTCATCATAGTCATAGTCGTTGTTATCATGTCATCGCGGTCAAATGGCAACGATCACCAAACATTACATCCGCCCCTGCAGTACAATAACGATGGTGGTCCTCGGGTATTTAACGACCCGAGTCAGTCACCCTTTTTTGCGCGCTGTCTTTTTCAAGGAAGGTCGACAATCCGAGTACGATAGTTGAGACTGTCCATCAGAATTGCATGTACCATTTGATTCTATTAGCAGGGCAACGTTGGGTTTCTAAAATGTAGAATACTTGTTTTTCGTGTTTTCGACTATCACGCTACAAACAGTTCATTTTTCCGAAATCTATAAAACAGCAGCGCGAACTGAATGAATAATAAGCTTATAGTTTTGGCAGCACGGTTGCTGTCAGTTTGATGTTGTATTCTCTACGAAACAAAGGAACAGATAACGCAGAAGCGAAATCGATCTTCTTCACTTCAATGCCGTGAACGCAGACTGTTCGCAGAAATATTATGTTGCTCCTCTGATTCTCTAAGTGTCCTCAAAATAAACAGTAAGACTGTCAGGCAGTGGCGGCTTGGGATCATGCTGTCCATGTTTTTGTTTCTAAAAAAGATATTTTTCTTCGAGAATTGATGTTTCGACGAACCAGGCACCCGCCATCTAATCTTGATGAGTACCACCCAGTCATCTGAAACGCTACCTGTACAGGAAGTTGTATTTGAATTTTTGGCTTGGTGCAGGCCATGGGATTAAAAGAAACATTTGTTTTCAGATATTTACAGAGTGGTGACAATTCGTAAATGAATTATTTTGTCTCTCCGTTGTATCCGTTCAAAATGTGAATGGGTTGCCTGTGGCCGGGAGAAAAGTCATTCTCATCTGCTTTGAGCAAGGGTGATTCTGTCACAGCCGATTGAATGACCTCGTCATTACGTTCAAATGTTCAGCAGTACTCTTTCTGATCGATTACTGAGTTTAACATCGTTCGTTACTTAGTTTTGATTTCCATGCTGGAGCAGGCCTATATCTAACCCGATTCTATCTCGTTTATCACTAGTCCGACATTTAGTGGAACCGTATTCTCTGATTCCCCTTCGCGCTTGCTTCAGGCCACTTCCTTTTCGCAGTCTCGTATTTCATCGTGATAATCGCCAACCGAACCACATTTAGAGCTGAACAGGGAGCGCTAATTGACCATCACATTCACAACGCCCAAAGTTCTACATTTCCATTGATGAGTTTACATTTGTCGTTCGCAGCAAGAAATGTGGAGATGTGAGTTATGAGGTGATGTAAATCATTTGAAAACCGCTTAACGTAATAAGTTGTTCATACGGCCGAATACGTCAAATAACGAGTGATTCTTCCAAGATTAGTTTTCACGGCATTTTGCACCTCTCCCTTGCTCCTAGTTGCTTAGGGGTTCATTTAAACAGGTCGCGCTGCATTGTGTTTGAGCACCTACGGTGCCAGATGCATCTCCAACATTTGTCCTTTAGAGCCACCTCGCTCCCATCACAATAGCTTTTGAAACAGCTGATAGTTTTGATGTGCTATCGCATAATGGGGGTGGTGCAGTACGCTGTGAAATCTAGTCCTGAAGGAGTTATTCGTTATTTGAGATACTCGGGCGAACGAACAATTTGTGATATTTATATACGGTGACATATGATGAGCACCAACTCCTGAAATATCGTGCTGAACGCGAGGTGCCTCTAGCGGACAGAATGATGCCAGATGCGTCTGGCACGGCAGGTGCTCAGACCATGGAACCGTGGTCCGCTTAAATGGCCCCTTAGATAATTAGGACGAAGTGGTAGTGTAATGCGACGTGAAATCTGGTCTTGGAGAAATCATTTGTTTTTCATTTGAAAAACGATATGGCCAAGCGAACAGTGGCTTACACGCTCATATTTACTTGATCCGCTACCTCTGATATGTAAGACTCGCTAGTACTTACCTGAGAATGCTTCTGTCGTCTTTTCCTGATAATTTATTTAATGTTGTGAACCACCAGAGGCAAGAACTTTCAAAAATGCGCCAGATGATAATGTTTTTGGAAGTGAGTGACCTGTTTGTTTGCCTAGTTTGATTTTACTAGTTTCAATTCTTCCTTGTTTGCCAGCTACAGGAGACGTAGTTGGTACTAGCAGTGGAGTTGCGATTGTCTGTATTACTTTAAGGCGCCTTACACA